AAACTTTCCCCACAAAATAGTGTTTCTAAAGTTGGACAATTCGAGGAAAAAGTAACCAAAATGGCAAAATCATGTGAATTCTCACATGAATGATTGAAATTCTTCCCTCGATTAAAAGCTAAAGGGGTGTTTGGTTGGAAGAAACATTTTTCTTTTAATTTTTTAATTTTTTATAAGGTTATTTATATATATTTGTACATTAATATTATAATAAAAGGAGAGTAAAGCTAATATATTCAATTTTTGTTTTCTCTAATATAATTCTCAATTCACAAAATTTTATTTGTTATATATTTGAAAAAAAATTTCCTGTAATTACCCTTGTACTTAACAATTTTACTTATTAATTTTTTTATATCAATTTCTCATCAAATAAAATTAATAACTTAATAAAATTTTAATTACAAAATATAATAACTTTTTATATAATTTTTTAATCAATTTTTAATAAAAAAATTTAATAATATTTTTTTAATTTTTATATAATATTTTTAAGTTACTTTTAATATATATATATATATATTATAAAATCACACTCTAATCAGCCCTAAAAGTGGCTTCCTCAGTTCTTCGAATGACAAAATTTTCCCGGCTTCAGCTGATACTTATCTGCCAGGTATGAAGCTGTCACATCCTCCCTACTTCAGAATTTTCAGCAAGTAAAAACGTCATTTGCCTCATTTTGTGTAACCATAACCAATCCTAACCACAGAGTACATTGACTCTAAGAAAACTATTTAATCAAGTTTAAGTAAGCGCAGATCCAATTAAAGATTAAATTAAATTTGGTCGACTTGGGCAGCTTCCAAAATAATATGTTCACATTAAGCCCAATTGCCAAAAATTCAACAGTCCAAGATATGAGGCGAGTAGATTTGAACAACAGCAAATGTCAGAGACAATGACTCTTCTTTCCCAGGTGGAACCCCTACTCCATCCTACTCCCTACCCCGTCCCTGTTTCCCCTCCCACTTTATTATTCTTTCCAATCCTTACCTTCATCTTCATTCTTCACCATCCTCCCCACAAATATCAAGATCCCCAAATGAATCAAAACCATCTTTTTAACTTCCTTCAGCCCTTCTCTCCATTGATAAACCTCTTCATTATCTTCACCTTGTTTTGCCTGGAAAGAAAGATTTTAGCTGTGGATTCTCATTACACAGCCTGCAATGTCTCAACAACCTGTGGCAGCCAAGAGATAAAGTTCCCTTTCTACATCCCAGACCAACAAGAATCCTTCTGTGGATACCCTGGATTCGAGCTCTTCTGCCGGAATAACAAAACTCTAATTCTCACCCTTCCGAATAACGATGACTACACAAGGCAAAACTACACAATTCAAGAGATTTTCAATCAGAACCAATCTCTTCGTGTGTCGAATTCAGTAGTTTTAGATGCAGAGGAAAGTTGTTGCATTCCTCCAATCGAAAACATTTCAATTCCTTATGACAGGTTCAAGCTGGCCTCAAACCAGAGGAAACTGTTTTTGCTTTCTAGATGTAACTTGACCGATGCCAAGGAATTCTCACAACATAAGGTGAATTGTTCTGGGAAAAAAATGGATAATTCTGTTCTGGCTCTGTTTGGGGATGACCCTGTTCTGGGAAATGCCTCAGAGAAGTGTCGGGAAGCGGTGGTGGCACCAGTGGATGTGGGCGAAGAAGGTGGTGTTGAGCATATGCTGAGGAGAGGGTTTGTGATGGAATGGATGGCAAATAATTGCAGCTTCTGCGAGGCCAGCGGTGGGATATGTGGGTTCGATAAGAGCACGTACCATTTCGAGTGTTTCTGCCCTGATGGGCCTCATGCTTCGCACTGTGTTCCAAAAGGTACGTGTGCTGTCTTCCTCTCTTTAGATTACCATGAAGCCTTCTTTTTTTTTTTTAAATATTTCATCATAAATTTATAGCTCTAATTTCTTTTGTAAATTGTTAGTGTGAGTATTAAATGGTAGAATTCCAAATGCATCGCTTAAAAAAAAAACCATTACTTAAAAGCACAACTAAAAAGTATTTTTTTTGTGAGACTTATAAAAAAATTAAGAAAAAAAAGGTTATTTCAGTAAATTTTCATTGAAGAATTAAAAAGAAAGAGAAAAAAAATTATTTTTAAATAAAAGTGAGTTTGCTTATAGTATGATTTAGTTTTAGTTTGGAATTTGGATGCTCACATAGTATTCAAGTTCAC